TAATTCAAGTGTTAAATTCTTTTTAAACCACTAAAATGGAATTTTTTTATTTTATTTATTACTCATTTTAAAACAAATTTTAATGCGAAATACATATTCTTGGACTTGGAATTTGATGCAATATGTAACGGATTTTGACAACGATATTTGAAAATATTAAAACTCGGAAAAAAAGATAATTTAAAAAAAACATCACAAATCTATCATAATCACCATTTGCGATCCTATTATCAATAGAAATGGATTAGCATACTTTCTGTCGCCTATTCTATAGATATATGATGGCATTTTTCACGGTATTTAGCAATTAAAGAAAAATAAACCAATAATCTAATGGATCTCTATGATGAGTGTTTCTAATGAATGATGCGCATATAGTCCTCGTTAGAATTATGTTCTTCATATGGCTTAAAAAAAATTGTATTTTCATATCGATCTTCGATAATTAACATCCACTTTTTTTGCGGATTATAATATATAGCTTGCAATTAGCAGTTTAGAAAATCACAAGCAAAACATATCAATTGGTGGTAGGCTGCTGTGTGATTTTATCATATCCTGGTTTTTAAATCGTTGAAAAAAGTTCAAGTCAATTCAACCTGCACATAAGCATTCAGCCTGTGTTTTTACCAAAAAAATGGCAAGAATTAAATCTTTATCGACAAAGAAAAGTAAATTAAATAAGGATGAATCTGATAAGTATGTGAGGTGAATTCTGCATTTTGATGGCTTTATGCTTTTAGGTAATAGGTGGTGATAAGCACGGTTATCTGAAATTCGTTGTTAGCAATAAAAAATCGTTGAAATTTAGCTGATTTCCCTGCCAGCTATTTTTTTGCAGTTGTATCGCTGAATTAATAAAACTTGTTTTTATCCATTCTGCAGATATCTTTTTCGAAATTTCTATATTGCACCACATTTGAAATTTCGTTATGCATGTTTTTTTAGTGACAAAAGTTATATTTCATATTTTACGAGATCATATATATTGCAGCCAAATGATTTGAAATCGCTTTAATTGGCGCTGAATTATTTTTTTCACTTCTGCATAATAATCGGAACTCAAATTGCATTATATAATTTTTTTATGCTTTTATCAAAAAAACTTATCATTTTATAAGTAATTAAATAATTATAATTATGCTATCAATAGTATGCTTATTTCAGGTTCGGTCCATTGACTTCCTGGAAAAAAGTCATGGCTATGAAATGGCCTTAAAAATCCGAGAGACAAATTTCTGCTAGAAAGCGGTATTCTCCAGTAATGACATAGTATATGAATTTGTTATTGCTTGAGAATACAACTTGCTGGCAGGTTATGAATAAAAGTATGCATTGTTATCTATTATTACCACTAAATTGTTTACTGGGTTGGTTTTTATTGTTCAATTTATTTGAAGCGACCAAGCAGGGCGACAAGCGCCATGTGTTTGCACTAATAACAACAAAATAAGATGTGAAAGAAATAAATGACATAAGATACGAAAGCAAAGTGACCAAAATCTAACAATGTAAAGAGAAAAGGGGGATTACAGAATAACATAGGTCGAGCTAATGTATTACTGACACATATTGATCATATGATAAAAGATTTCAAATTACCTGCATAATGTGTAAATAATGCCATAATACCATTTTAAATAACATCTTAGATGATTATCATCCCTCTCTATTCTCCGCGTCTTCATTGTTCAATTTCTTAAATAGTTATGCCACTGTTCGGAGGAAGTTGGAGATTCACCTGTATTTCTAGTTTTAAATGAATCTCTAACGAAGCATTCTAATAAGCAGTGCAATTATTCAAAATAGCAATGATGAATGTTTTTAGAAAAAGAAAATTATGATAGGATAGAATTGCCATTCGTCATTATGCTTATATCTTCATAGAAATCCTTGTATAAAGCATACATAGTGAAGACGATTAAATATTATTAAAATGCCCTTCACAACATACCATCTAAAGATGAAATTCTAGGTTTTTGGATATCTTTATTTGTGTAAAAAAAAAGCCAAATAAATGCCAAATGCTTTTGAAAATAACAATTTAAAGAAAACGGAGTCGAAATATGAATTAAGTTTTGACCGATTAAAATATGATGAAAAAAAGCATGAGAGAAGTGGAAATGTCATAAATAGCCCATCTAATTTTTTCTTGATAAATGACGCTAGCACTAAATTCTTAGTGCAGACAGATCGGTTATTTCTTCTAAACGAACCGAATTTTCCATAATATGAAAAGATTTTTCTAGCAAAACGTCGATGGACAAATTTTATTCTAAATGGAACGAATTGTTGCAAAAATAATGAAACTCGTAATACTTTTGGACAAAATAAAATTTGAAACCCATTAAAAGTATTTTTATTTCTATTGAAGTTCGCCAAATAGTAAAATTATTTCAGGAAAAATGCGAAAAAAAATGAAAAAAAAGGAGATCTAAAGAACTATCGATTCGAAAATTCTGTGAAAATTTCTTTTTTTTTAAAAAATCTTTGTACAGTTGTACAGTTTAATATTTTCAATTTGAAATAATTTGAAACAATAACGTGAAATGAAATTATTTATGGCCAATGAAATTTTATGTAAAAATATAATTAAAGATATTTATTAAACGATCTTTATAAATAATCTTTATAAACCAATAACTATTTTTTAGTTATTCTTCTAATAATATGCATTATTACTGGTCAGATTGGCTGAACTAATTACAAGGTCGTCCCCGTTTCGTTCCTAAGTGTCCCATTTTGAGATCTTTGAAATGACCACTTCGCGAAACTTAAAGAGATAATAGAAAAGGAGTTCCAAACTTTTCAAATTTTCGAGATCTTTAACTTTTTTTAGTTTTTTTTATCACGATCGAAAAAAAAATTTGCAATGTTTTGTGATGAATTTCATTTAATTTAATAATTTTGCAAAATTTAGGATATTAAATGATTTTAACTGATTTTAGTACTTATAAATATTTTAAAGGCAGATGCAACGCATTAATTGATGACAATTGCATGTTAAATTGTAAATCAATCCACTTAACAGTAGAAAATGCTTTGGAAAAATTAAAATATATCGTCCTATTTTGCTTCCATTTTTCAAATTCTCAAAATTAGTATTGTCGGATAAACCAATTTACCGATTCTAAAAAAAATGAATGAATAAGAGAATCTTTTATTGAGAGGAAATTAAAGAAGAAAGGCAAAAAAAGATAGATTAATCTGTTACATGCCAGCGAATTGCTACAAATGTCCACTATATCCACTATTGAATAAATTTCTTGCTTAATCAAGTGTAATATTTGCAAATTAATCAATTTATGAAATTTAGTAGAATTATTTCAAATAAATAATGAAAATAATTGCTTCATTAAAATTTAGTAAATAATAGGGAGAAATGTTTTATTGAGAACTATTTTCGACTATTCGAAGTAGGGGATAATAACGGGAATTCGGAAGGATTATGGTGGTTTGATGTGCATGGAAGCATTTGTGGGGTTTAAAGTGATATAAAAGGGATTATTACTGAACTGATGTTTTTTTGTAGTATTTTCTCATGTTTTTATTTTAAAGCTAATGTGTTAATTAGCCTAAAATTTAAATCGCTAAATCCTACTTCATTAATTCTAATTAAAACTACTAATCTAAAAAAAGATTATTTGCGAAATTTTGAATATGCTTACAATCCTTAGCGCTAATTTTGCCTTCTGAACTTCGATGTTCATTTTTCTGATTCATTGGAATTGGATCTATTAATAAATTGAAGCCAATATTTGCCTTTAGGTGAAGAAAAAATGAATTTTATAAAAAAAATAACCGATAAGAAAAGTTAATTGCCTTGGACTTTACGACATCTTCGAAAGAAACAGTAAATTTGTGCACATTTCATTCAAAGAATTCTTGTCTGTTTTAAATCAAGAATAAATAATTTATTAAAATGAAAAATTTTGCAAAATTTTGGAGGAAGAATCCTTCTTTTCTCTTCTTTTTCTTTTTCTTTGAGAAAATTTTAATTTAAATTTTCTTTCATTTTTTGTTTAGAAGATGCATCTGGAAGAACAATTTTTCATGCTGAAGATCAGGGAAAATCATTATTAAAAAAGTGATAGAAGAAAAAGAAGTGCAGATATAAGTTTGGCTTCAGGTCGGTCTTTTTAACACAGAATGCGCAATAAGTATACATATCACATATCAGTTTTTTTAGCACAATTGATATATAAATGAATTATTCATTATAAATGGAATAAAACAAAATAAAATGATATTACGAAATGATATTAATGTATTTTATATATATATATATTTTATATTTATATAAATACAAAATATATATATATATATAATATGTAATATTTGTATGTATATGGCATAGATTGTTTTGAAAACAATCAAAATCACAAGCTTTCAATACATAAAAACATAATTATTTAATTAAGAAAGAAATTGATAAAGGATAGAGTGAAAGTAAAAAAAAAAAATGTTAATAATGCAATAAATATTGCCGATATAAATAATAATAATAAATAATAAGAAAGAAATTATAAATTTTGGTATTAAATTCAACCTTCGTTAATTCAAGCGAACCAAATTAAATTATTTTACTTCATTATTTTTCATTTAGAATTTTCTCATTTCTCTTTTTTTGAGGAAAAACCTATGTATTTGTCGCACAAAGTTTCATATGGCCTTTCGCAATATATTTCTTAGTGAAATGGAATTGTGGCACTTTAATTTGTATGACTGGATAAATTATAAATAATGATAATAATAATAATAATAATAATAATAATAATAATAATAATAATAATAATAATAATAATAATACATAGTAAAAAAAGAAAAAACACGGCTTTAACTTGTAATTAATTTCATTCATCCATCTAAAATTTTTAATTTTTTAATTAATTACATAGCAAAGTTTTACTACATGTACAACTGAATTAAATTAATTTCTCGTATTTTCCACATATGCCTGAGTTTCTCGGAAAAAAGAACCTAAGTGATGAAATGATGATCTAATGATTACTATTGTTGCCATAATCTGATTTTATGTTAGCATTTTGGTGAGATGTTGTTACTGCAGTTGAGCTGGCAATATTGGACTGATGATCAGTAAGTAGATCGATATGGCGCCGTTTTCGACTTATGTGATGACTTTCCTCGCGTAAAGATGCTGTTGGATCATAGTTCGACTCAGGATTTGCTTCTTCTAACGGTGGAGTTCTGAAAAAAAAACTGTTCTGAATTAATTAGAAGTGATCTTGTACTGAATCTCTGAATGATCTGTTATTTCATTTAAACCACGAACAATTTTAAAAGTTGTGAATGAGACTGGATTGAAAAAAATGAAAATAGAAATGAAAATGATCTTAGGGAAAAAAATAATCATAAATTATTAAGTGAAACTATTAAAAAATTATTTGAAAATAAATTAAACTATTGAAAAAAGTACTAAATAAGGTAAAAGACAAACCCAGCAGAAACTGAGCTTTGTGGTGATTGTGATGGTTCACTGGCATAAAATTCTGTTGCAAGTGCCAAACGCTTTCTTATTTCGGTATCATTTCTCTTCATACCTTTTACATAATTGTATCCTGCATCTTTCACTACCTGAAATTCTTAAAAGTGAAAAATTGTCTGAAAATAAAATGTTTCTTTTTAAGCTTTTTTTCTCAAGAATGCTATTATCCTCCAGTAGGGATAAAAAATAAATTAAATGTGATAATGGCAAATTAATTGGGAATAGAATGGCTTAGTGGATTGTTGCTCAATTCGGAGCGCCGTTGTTGAGGTACTTCCCGCAGGAGTAAACATCCAAAAATGCGGATGATGTTGACGTATTTCTCTCTGGTATATTGGCTAATCCGACAAAGCAGCTGAGCGAGTTTAACCAGTAACGGTGAGGGCTCTTAAAGAAAAAAAGTAGCAAATTAATATTAAAATTTATTTTTCGCTTAAACTTTGATAATAAAACCGATGAATTAAAAATAATACAAAACCATTAACAGATCTTAAGAATAAAGTAGTGAATCAAATATAGCACGAATAACACAAGGAAGAATGAAATTAATAATTAATACAATTAAGAAAATAAGTAAAAAATAAAATAATAAAAAATACAAAATACAGAGTAAAATTATCCATTATTCGAAACTCAGTCATTCTGGTCCTTCATTGAGAAAATAAAGATAAATTAAGGAGATTGGATGGAGACTGTGAAGCGTGTATATGAATTATACGCCCACGCGATTACAACCAAGGATAACTATAAGGAATATTGTAAAAGAGATCAAATCCCAAATCTTAAACACTTACTAGATACCACGAATAGATTGAATTGAGAGGAGCAGCAGTATCCTTTTAAAAGATAAACAAAAAGGGAAAATTCGAGTTCGATTAGTTTGAAAACAAAGAGCGATAATCTGAATTCGAATAAATTGCTGGACAATGGGTGATTGAGGAATAGTATGGTTGCTTCGATTCCCCGCCTCAACAAAAGTAAGCCTATCAGTAAAAAATCAAGTTGATATATTTACTTGAATTTCTGAAATATAAAAATTAGGTAAAAATATATATATACAAATAAGTATAAATAAATATATATATGTATAGGAAAAGTATTAAAAATTTAAAATTTTTAATTTAATAAAATACAAGATTGCATCAAAGGATGAGCGACTGAGAGAATGTCTGAAGCAGACTTGGAAAACGATCATGTAGAGGTAATATTATGGTAAAGGCCTCCATCGATTGCACTATCAACATATAGCTGTTGGAGAAGCTGGACTAAGAGACAACATTGAGACAACATTAATTATAACCGCACAGGAGCAAGCATTAGATAAATCGAAACAAGGATCTACCACACTAAACAGGACTTTAGGCACTGTATAACGATGCCCCAGAAATAACCAACAAATAGCAGCAGGATGTAAAATTCATGCAGGGAAACACATACAGCACATAGAAAGCATAACCAAGTAGCTGGCACCATTTAGATATATCAAGCACGATATGTGATCATATGACTTAAGCCATCCAAAATTAAATGGAAGATTCCTCAGAAAGTCAGAGAATAATAAGGAGAAGATCCAGGACTTCTCTCTATCCAGGCAAGTACTGGTCAGTCGATACCGTGATAATAGATAAAAATCAAAAATTAGCACTGGTGATAGATATAGCAATACCAAGTGATAGGAACACTAGGAACAAGGAACATGAAATGTGAGAAGTCAGAGAAATACCAAGGGCTGAAAGAAAAACTAAAGAAGACTGTGAAAGCCAAAGTAATTCCAGTGATAAGTGGAACATTTCGAATTGTGGTCCCTAAACTAAAAAAGTTTCTTCAGCAGATTCTAGAGACAATGGGAACAACTAAAATGTTTTCAATCTCCTTGGCCTCTGGTAGAGGATCAGAGGTTGAGGGTGACCATGATCATCCACAGGAGGTGAGAAAAAAGTAAAAGAAAAATTATCTAAAATTTAGAATTTAATAAAATGATATTGAAATTATGAAATAATTTGATACAAAAAAGTGGATGGTGGTATTGAGAAGTTACAATTAGGCTCCTGTGGAAAGCAGGACAAATCCATTATTAAAATCATCCAGATGGTATTAGCAATCCACCCGTACTTTTATCACTGATACTGCTTAGCAAAAATTTCTAACTGTATTTAAAGCATTGCTTAACCAAAATGATAATTGAAAATGTTTACCATTATTTACTTATAATATCCCTTTTTAAATTTTTTTTAAATTAAATTTTTAAATACCCTTTTTTAAATACCCTTTAAATACCCTTAATTTAAATACCCTTTTTAAAATTTTTCACTTAAAAACTATTAATAAAAAACTGAAAGAGATAGCTGCTTCATTGTACGATTATAAATAATTTATTTAATTATTGTCAAAAGATCTCTTCTTTCACCGACTATTTTATTATTAAATGTCCCGTGAACTTTAGAAAAAATTTCAGATTAAGAATTAAGGCATTTATTTAACTTAGAGCAATAATCAAGCAGGATACGTATAGCAAATATGTTAGATTCTAAACCAAATCTACTAATAGTTTATTGAAGAGAAAATATTAATAAAACGAAAAAACTGTTTATAAATTAATTGTAAAAGAATTGTAATTAATTGTAATATAAATTGTAAGAGAAAGATTTTAATAATTAAATTAAAAATAAATTAACAGGTTATTAATAGATTTAAAAAAAGTAAATTATGAGGATAAATTTGATTGCATTTTGGAATTGAAAACTGGGATAGGCCTCTATCAAAAAAAGTTTTTACCTGCCTAGCTAGTGGGAAGAGTTCATCCCTTCTTGTCAACAGTGCAGGTTGTCGAAGGCATAATTGAGCAGCGGCTTCATTCACTGAAACTTCATGCAAAGTTAATGGTTTATCCGGCTTGCGCTTGGCATCAAATCTACCATATATTGCAGAATATTTACGATATTCCTGCAAACGTTGTGGAGATCCATGTGGCAACTGCATTACGTCTAATAATTCGCTGAAATAATGAGTTCATAAATGCTGGAAAATGTGAAAACTTTGTGTATATAAATTCGTCGATGTTAGCAAAAATTTTATAACAATTTATTATTTGCTTATTAATCTGTGAAAATAATTTAAACAGTTGGATTAATCGAGCAGGATTTTTACGTATACTAATTTGCTAGATTTAGTACAAATGCTTCACTAACCGGCTAATTTTTTTTTTATTTTGAATGAGCTTTGGTTCAAGATGTGGCATTCGTTCGATAAGTCGATTCGAGCATTCTGTGATTTTATTTATTTGAGCATCAGTTAAAACTGGTGTTTCCATTATAGCGCTTACACCGGGAACTACAATGTTATTACAAATATAAAAGCAATATTATCCAAAATTTCTTGTAAAAATATTTGGCAGTATTTTGCAGAGTGATTGAAATTTGCCATTTCTTACAATATTAATTGTTAATTGTTGGATGAAAGGTAAAGTTTTAATTTTAATTTAACAATTTAATTCTTTGAAAAAATCTTTTCTTCTTTTTTTCACAAACTTTTCCTCAAAAAAATTGAAAATACAATATTTCTTCTTCATCTTCTAACGACTTCTATTTTGACTAGCTGCTTTGAAAGTCTTCTCACCGGAGGGCAGTGAGTGTGGATTTCTAGCAGATTTTCTTGCACTGAGCAGGCGAGATCTAGGTTAGGCTAGGCTAGGATAGATAGGATAGGCAATAGGCTAGAGGCTAATCAATGGCAGAATACAGGGAGCTCACTTGTTGCCTCCAGACGAAACATGATTAATGCTAAATACTATCCGACTACTGGAATAATAGTATTAAATACAGAAACTAACTGGGCACACTTACCAGTTTGCTCATAGTCACAATTTGCTTCAAAAGTAGCAGCTGCCGATGGGCTCGATGCAAGATGTTGTGTGAAGCCACTATTTGTATTTGAGTGATCTATTGTGCCAATAAGCGTAGTTGCAACATTCGATGTATCTGCACAGTTTAATGTTTCTTGATTATTGATGTTTGGGATGCCCATCATCGTTGACTGAGTACCAACTAAATTAGTTAATATATCACCAGCTGAAACATTTGCAGTTGCACCAACCGAAGATATACCGCATGTCGATAAAATAGATCCATCATGATTGGAATCAGTTGCTGAAATTCCGTTATATTTTGACGAAAATTGGTAGATTAACATTGATTGTATTTCGATAGGCAAAAAATAGGTGAATGGTGTATATTGTAGAATATATATACTTTTTTATTTATACGTTATTAGGTAAAAAGTAAAGCAATTTTAGCAATTTAACTCTTGAAAAAGTTTTTCAACAAATTCCATCAAAAAATTAAAAGTATTGACAATATAATATTTCTTCTTTATCTTCTAATTACTTCTAGTTCTACTAAGTGTACTGAAGTAAAAACGCGTATCATATTGATAATTTGGTTCCGTTAATTACAAAAGGCATTGTCAAGCGTGCCAATTTGTCATAAATAGTAGCGAAGCTTTCCATTTTCATACGAATAAATGCCAATAAATGCACAATATTTTCCTCTACTTGCTATTTCTGCGTTGTTATTGTATAGAAAGAAAAAACAGATTTAGAATATGCTTTTCGACTGATGAATGGAATATTTTCTTATGCTATTTTTATGCCAAAATATTATCATTTAAAAATGAAATTTAACTAAATCATAAACGTACAATTCGATGAATTTATTGGTAAATGGCAACTAGTTGTAGGTTGTATAAGTTGACGGGGGGAATTCTTCTCTGGCTGCAATTAAATTTTACGAAAATATGTTGTCGATCATATAAATAAAAAATAGAATTATTCACAGGCCATTCGAAAAAACAGAAGGCTAACTATTGTTGAAGGACTGGTACTTGGCAATGAAGCTGCAACAGCCAAACTTGCAGCTGCGAGACTCTGTGATGAAAGTAAAAATTGAAGAGCGGCAGCTGTAGTAGGAGCTGTAGTTGAAGACGATGATAAACCATAGTTCGTTACGGGAGGAACGCCGATTTGTTGAATGGCCACAAGATTAAATGCGTCTGGATCCTTACTGAATTCCTGAATTTTATATTCCTCGTTATATTCCTGAATTTATATTCCTTTTTATTTGTTATAATTTTATATTCCTTGTTGACAATTTCAAAATAAATTTTATATGAACATAATGAGTTAGTTCTCTTGTCTATTTCATGTGGAATTGTCTCACTCCTTTTACTAGCCCTCTTAATTTAATTGGTAAGAATTATATGATTGGAAACATACAGTAAGCGTCCTTTGAAATCTTCTTACATGAAGTGGTTTTGATGCCATTCCAACTACAGACATAATTTCCAAGAATTCATGCTCATCACATGTCATAAATTGATTAATATCATCCCCTCCTGAAACTTTTTTTGTAAATGTTTGTTTAATTTAGATCAAATCCAATGAATAAAAAATTTTTCTAACGCTACGGATTTACTACAATAATTACAATAATTTGAAAGTACAAAAAGCATTTTTATAATAATAAACCATCTAATTTAATTAACAAATACTATAAAATGCTATAAATAATATAAACTTGCTTGTTAAATTTGCCATGAAATTATTATATTATTATTATAAAATTATTAATACATAACTTAGGTGGCTTAGATTATTCAATTAAATGCTTATAAAATCACTGTGGTACTTTAAAAAAATATTTGAGATATTCAATATTTGCTAATTATTAAATCACTAGGATCACACCTTGCGCAATAAATTCATCGTAATATTGAATAAGATTGGCCCGATGAAGGACAGCAAGTAATTGCCACTCAGAGAAAGTAGCTGGTTGTTTTGATGGTGGCCTATAAAAATTGGATAATAATGGAGCATTCTGATCATTAACTTTGAAATTAGTGATAACAAATGTACAAGTGACAAATGCTTCTGAATTTATGTGATCGTAAAACAAAGTGAAGATTTTAAAAAATTTTTTACCTAGACTGCTGTCCGGGCGGAATGATTAAGGACGAAGATGGGCTGGGAGTGCTCGGCAATTCTGAAATTTTGATGCTCTGCCAAGGAAGCGATACCTGAACCCCAGAGTGTAGATTCAGGACTTCCGTATATGCACTTTTTGACGAAAACAACTTTATGCGATAAACTAGCCGTCTGACGGCCAACAAGCAGTTTTTTGCAATATTGTTAAATATTTTTTTAACGTCTCCTAAAGACTTTCATACAACTGAAATTGTTGAGATCAATAACACCTTGGATATGTGCTCTGCACAGATATATCATTGCATTCCATTAAATCGAACCTGCCGACGCACGAAATTGTTATTTGATAGTGTTCGGTTAGCTGAAATTAATTTTATCGTTAATATTTAATTATTTTTTTCAGTGAACTGAAAAATAATTGAAATCGCTGGTTTAAAGAAATTTTTTCATGAAATTGATTTCATCGGTCTCTTCAGTAATATATAAAAGAGAAAATTTAACTATGAAACTAAATTCAGACCTTTGGACCAGTTTAGACTTTAGAATGAATATAGACTCTTTTCGATGAAAATTCGATAGCGTTTATGAGTATATCAAATAATTTATAACAAAGATGATTTTTAAGGAAGGTAAACATTGTTTAATGTGGAAAATTAATCCCAATCAGCCAAAAAAAAGCTTTCAAGTAAATCGAAAATTTATAATTGGTTTTTAAATATTAATCTGATATTAATTTCGTACGAACAAAATATTTGCTAATTAAAGAAAGCAAAAAGTCTATTTGCTGCGATTGATTATAATTCATTGATTAGGCAAATTATTTTAATTGCTTGTTCAATGATAAATTTATGGTAGTAAAATCTTTTCTGCTGTTAAACCAATAATGTCTAACTGCTAAGAAACTTCACTCGAATGAAGGAATCTCCAAGACAAAATAAATTTTATTTTTAATGGCAGATTTGCAGAGCAAGAAAAAAACCTGCCCGAATAACATTCGATAGTGCTATTTTTGGTTGCTATAAGACAATAAAATCCATTTGAATTCTCTATGCTCTAATGAATCAAATACAAAATTTGAAAAAAATTCAGGACTAAATTGATAGTTGAATTATTTCACGTTTTTTTCCTAAAATTTTGCGGCTTATTTTCAAAACAAAAACAAAAAAAGATTAATTAAGGATTTTGTTGTCTGCTAGAAAATAATATTTTAAATTATTGATAGTCATGGAAGATAAATATAAATACTTTTTCTGGATGAATCATTAGTAACAATCATATCGTCGTGACGACATCTTAGTTCCAAGATATCCTTAAAAATTTTCGCCAAATTTAACTTCAAATTTTTTATTAAAAATCAAAATATATGCAAATAAATTTGAGATGTAAAGAAAATACTCATTCAACACAAAAAAATATCACTATCCACTCGGTTATCCTACTCGCTATTCACTCAATGTACGCCTTTTTCAAAAAATTTGCAAAAAATATATAGGGAAGTCAGAATTGATTTAATAGCAATGAGAGTATACAGTATAGCAATGAAATAGCAGAAAAATAAATCAATCCAGCATCCTGAAAAAATTTCGCAAAAAGTGAAACGACTTCAGACTAAGCGCACATATCTAAAATATTTATTGATTCATGAAAAGGCAACTGGTAGCTATGCAATAAAAAACCATAAAATTATTTAGCCAAATTCTAAAAAACAAAATATTCGCTAATAAAGAATAATACCTACTATCCTCAAATTATGGAGAGCATGGCTACTTTGTTGGTGAAATTACGCAAAATAAGGACTTCTATTGTATTTCAATTCACTACTCAAAATTCACTGAAATAAGGGGAGAATCGAGCCTATTAAGAAATTCTATTGGTCAAAGAGGCCCGAAATAAAATACGAAATTCGTGATTAGTTTTCTAATAAATCGCCAATTTTTTAGACCATAGGCAGATGCTCTATTTCTTTTTTTTTTTAGAAATTTACAAGTTAACAAAATATTTCAAGTTTTTATCTAAAATTTAACCTTATTGCTCTGTTTATTAGAATTAATAACTTGAAAAAAAGTGAAATGATCGAAATTACTAGCTTGGTAATGAAATGAGATGTAAAACTTTTTATCTTTATTTCAATTAAATAGCAATAATATTATTTATCAGAGAATTATATGAAAGATAAAGGTTATTAAGACTTAAAACGACTTGGATCTAACTCTCAGTGGTCTGGTCAAAGAACAGAGGAATAGAACTCATAAAGTTTAAGTCCTCTAATCTAAAATGAATTTCTAAGCCTTCTTCGATGGAAAGAATTTGCATGAAAAACTTTGCGAATTACGAATCGCTGTATAGTCATAGTTGTGTCAAAATTCACATCATTCTGCATGAAAAAAGAGGAAAATCTTTCCTGAAAGCAAAGGCTTTCTATTTCTTTTGCAAGGTTGCTTAACGAATGCATGAATCGCTGTATAGTCAAGAATTCAATCAGTAATTCTTATAAATAAAATTAGAATAATAAATGCAGAAATTGGCCATTAGTACGAAAGTGTATATTCTAGCCATATCACTTTTAAATATCGGTAAATGATACTGTAGCCTTTCATTTGAATTTTTTTTGTTTATTTTTTATGATAATAAAAATTTGCATTGTATATTTTTAGTTGACTATAGACGAGTGCAAATTTCTTTTTTTGGTCAATGAAGATTTTTCTAAGGTGTGATATCAGATTTTTCCATCATATGCGACAATACAAAGCATACGAAGCATAGACTGTCGAAATAAAAAATAAAATGGAAAAAATAAATAGAAAAAATAGAAGGCTATAGAAAAGAGTCATAATATTTTCTTCCATAGAAAATAGATTTAAGAAATGATAATGAAAATACAAGAAGTTCGAGAATTTCGCCTGGATTTCAGAAATCTCTATGGGAGGTCTTTTTCATGAGCATGTTTAGTGATAAAAAAATCTCTGCAATGACTGGCAGCCCAAATACCGCATTTCGGCGATGAAAGGATGTAATCATTAAAAAAACTTTTCGGATAGGCCGAAATTTATCTCTTTTCTTAATGTTTTTTTCACCGACATAAATTGGTATACTCATGATTTATGAGCATTTTATATGAAATTTACTTCGATAAGTTTGGAAAACATGATTTAAGTAAAACTGATATCAACCAACCAACCACTCGCCAATGATCACCAATGAAAATGATGACAAAAGGTTTTCGAAAAAAAAACAAAAATAAAAAATCAATTTAGAAGAAATCGGGATAAAATATTTCTCGATTTCGATCTATCAGTTCAATTTTCTTGAAATATTAACCGAATTTCTGCAAATTTCCTTACATTTTGCTGTTTATTTGAATATTTGAGCGGACAATTCTTCCAGAAATATCTTTCCACTTTTTGAATTCATGGTAATACTTTTACCCATCAAATCTGGTTTGACTGGCTCCATTGATTATTTTATTTAGTGATAGGAGTACAGATGGGGTCCGTTTCACAGGTTTTTAAGAATTGAATCCATGATGCTTAACTTAGTTGAAGCAATACATCACTCGGCCTCAGATTAAAATGTAAAGAAAGATTTTTTAAGATTCTGTTTTTTTCAATAATCCAGAAATGCCAAAATTTTATCTTCCATTTATTGTAACTGTGCATTGAAAATGACATGAAAGGTGATCATCGACAATAAAACGAGATAAATTTCTCAAATAATAAAACTTTCGAAACTTGCTGACAATAATTTGTTTTCATTAGAAATACCATATGAAAAACAGCTCGAATCAGAAATCTCATAATGAATCACCAAGAATAAATTAAGATTTTTTGCATAACAAGAAATGAACAAGAGACCATCTCAAGAATTTTACTACAAGTCGTTCGAAAGAAAAGCTAAATCCATGTCCTCTATAACAATATAATATCAACCACAAAACTCCAAATTTCTTACAAATTTCGGTCATTTTTGGAAAAATATATTCTCCGATCATCTTTTGAATTTCGGCCAGAAATTTCTTTCAGAACGGCGATGTGATAACTGTGATTTCTTACATATTGACTCGACATTATAAGGATGCATTAGAGAATAACAGATTACATTACATACACTTAATAAATGGCAATTCACTGAATGCCGAGTTTCTTTATACTTGACAATCTTAATTAAATTAAGATATAAAAAACTGTATATTAATAAATAGGCTTGTAAGGTAATTTTGCCAGAGAGCGATGGGAATAGAAGCACAGATAACAGTCTCCCATGGATTTTTTAAATGACGGTTTTACTCAAGAGTAGGTTTGAAACAACTATTTGGTACTCTTTTCCATATCTGATGCTTAAAAAAACCAAAGAGCTGCTTTCGGAAAATGCCAAGTTTTCGTTAATAATAACAACAATTTCCTGAACATAAGCATGGTAAAATCTTGCTAAGAATATATTTAATATTGAATATATTTTAGATTAACTTTGGCTTAAGAGTTCTTCAAATTTTTCCTCAAAGTCTGAAACCACTGTTTATCACGTATATTATATTTAAAATTAAAATATTATATATCTCAATATATCAGTGATTTTAGAATTTATTTTGGCAATTATCCTAAAAAATCATTGTTGAAAAAAAAAATCAAAGTTTTCTTTCAGTTCTATCACTTCAATGAACCAATTAATAATTGAGCACTTCATATGAAAATAATCATTATAAACATTGACGATTTGTCGACAAATTCATGCGGATTCCGTTCTTTAAAATTACAAGAAAATTGAAACATTGAAAATCCACAAATCCAATGATTTTCCGCGACCACTATTGCAAATTTTGCCTACAGCCTTGCCTACATAAAATAAGTTTTCAAGAATGACCGAACGAATTCTTTTCTTATTCTTGGTTGAAGAAATTTTTTAAATTGATTGAACAAAAAATTACGAAATGCTTTCATGGAATATTCCTGAGCCACAGACAGCTCTGAGAACTTGTTTCGATTATTTTACGATTGCCACATATTATTTCAATGTAATTCTTCCATAAACTTTTTCTATAACCAACAAAAAAATTCTGGAATCTGAATTATTTCTTCCAGAAACTATTTTATGAAAAGAATTTATTTTATTTTATAAATCAAATAGTTCTCGATTTTAGATGTCATAAAGTTCCAACTAGGATACTAGAATTCTGGTGTCTGGTCAGTGGTGCATTTAAGGTGATAATAACAAAAACTAAAAAGTTATA